CACTCTTTTTTTCAGGAAAAAAAACTCCACCGAGCTTAAGAACCACCAAATTACTCAAGAAAGTTGCGGATCTTTTTTTTTGCCGCTCTCGTGCAGAAGGAGTGTCTCTCAAACTTTTTTCATTGCCCTCCTATTAAATGGCATCGCAGGCATTATTCAGAGAGCGAGCGGCCAGGGTAATTGGAGTGAGTGCCTGGCCTGCCTGCTTGTGGCCCATTAGAATTATTAAGACGGAGAGATCGCGTTTCACTCTCTTATTCCTCTCCGAAACCCTCCACGTAGTCAATTAGAAAAAAAGCAGATGATCTATTATAGATGCACGCGCGCCTCCAAACAAATTTACTTACCCAATTTATACAAAGTTATACTCGCCGAGACATGACGCGGCATGGCTTCTGGTTTTATCCGCCTTATTATGAGATTAAAACTTTGACGAATCAATATAAGGAGATTGCTCGCCGGCAGCAACAAAAGAGGTTCAGGGGCTGTTTTGTCAAAGTTTCGGGAATCTCCGAAGAAGGTCTGATTTCCACATTGAATCACTCGGCGCCCCTTTAAAGTATGCACCCCCGTCGAGCATACGTGTGTTGCACTTGGGGAGTTCAGGGGCTATTTGTTATTTGCCTCTTCAAGAGAGGGAGAGGAGATGATTAGAGAAAAGGGACTTTTATGCTATATATAACTAGGGACACGACAAATTAATATGTTCAAAAAAGTAAATTTTAGAGGCAAAATGAAATTTTTAGATTGTGATTAATTTTTTTAGCATTTGTGTACTGAAAATTATATTTTATTTTTTAAAAAAGATCTAAATGAGTACTTTTTATAACATTTTTGTTGATTGATTCAAGTTATTCCAGAGAGGTATATAATTTTAATCGGAACCAGAAATTAATGAAAAAAATTGAAAAATAACAAATAATTATTTTGGTTTACTTTTTGTAAATTGAAATTCACTAAAGCAATCGTAATAGAAATATAAGATGGTTTATTGCAATATTCCTTAAATTGTCCTATTCTTGTGAAGAATAATATCTGCAAAAATTCAAATCATTCATTGTAAAATTGCTGATCATTTTTTACTCTGGCGTGGAATTTGTTGCTTTTTTCTTTGCTTCTGTTTAGAACAAGCAAGATTGTTGTAGGCTCAGAGTGTACAGTTTAAGAACAAAATTGTTCAGACCAGTTTCAGTAGCAGAAAAAGTCTTTTGAAATTGTGATTTTAAACAAATCTAGTTATTGAGAGGAAAATTGGAAATTCTTAAAATTATATTGAAAAAAAATCAATTTCCAAACCATCATTTTTTTATTTATGATTTCTTTCGACGCCAAGTTTTGTTTGTACTTCCGCAGAGAGGATTAGTCCGCGTGAACTTAATTGGGTTAACAAAATGGTTAGTCGCAAGTTTCCTCTTTCTCTCTTCATGGGCGGAAGTTGCTCAAGAGTTTGTCGGGTGGGAAGAATGCGGTGGCCGTCAGCTAGGCGCAGACATGCAGTTTTGGGGACCGCAGGCAAAACCTCAAGCAGGGGTGGTTTTTCGCGAAGAAAGCTTGTTTGTCCTCATCAAGGAGCGAGTTTGCGGCTGCGACGGCGGCCCTCGAGCAAAGACAAAGGATAAAAGGCGGCAAGCTGGGTGCGCATAATGACTCTGAAAACACAGCTAATTGAAAACCGCACACACATACTTGCAAACTCGGGAGAGAGCGACGCGTGGCTGAATGCCCCTGTAAAATATGCAACACGCCAATGAATTAGCCTGGCATGCGCTCTGCTTTGGAATTAATTCTCATGTGAATGCGAATTTATTAAATTATACCATAGCGACGCCGCTCCACTCTGCTGAGAAACTTTAAATTGCCTTCCTGCTCCTGCACGGCTGATTATATTTATATGCGCAGTCTGCTGCTGGCTGCTTACTATATTATTATATTTATTGCTGTGTGGTGTGTGTGTGTGTTCTTGTTTTGCGCCACCAATTTACAGTTGGTTGCCAGTACATTCACACTGCTCGCAGTCTAGAAACAAATTTTTCGATAATTTTTAACTTTTATATTTATAAATTTGATTTTTTTTTTTTTAATTTGCTCATTTCTCTTTTCATAATTAAAACTTTTATATTAATTTGTTTATTTGATTTGAAAGTGTTTTTATTGAACGCCAATGGCGTTTGACAGGTTACATAAAAATTTATTTTATTTAAATTCTTATAATTTAATTTTCAGCTGCTCTCTGTAAATAAAAGTAAAAAGTTTTCAAACATCGCACAAAAAGTTTTGTCCGGAATTTTTGTAGGGCCCAGAGCAACTTTTGTATCAAAATGTATTCACACCTATTTAAATGTAAATTCCCATATATTTACTTACATGTAATTTTTTAATCTAGATAAAATTATATATTTTATTAAACTAAATACATAAAAAAAATTATGAAATGTTGATTCCATTCATCACGAGTTGTTTATGGCGCAGAGTTTCCTAAAAGAGCCTCAACTGCAGAGAGTTTCACCGACCTTGCCGTTTCCTGTGAGCTTCAGGTGAGCTTGAGAGAAAAAATCCAAAATGGTGAAATGTTTAATGTTGGAAAGCTCATTATTTCTAGGTGGCTTGATAATTAATATTTTCATAACAAATAATAAATCTTCATGGTTAGTGTACTATTAACTATTAAATAGAACCTATACAGTAATTTATATATAGCAAAATTCTTACTTTTCTTTTTCATAATCAAAAGTATAATATATATACTTTTTTAAGTTTCATTAAAACCATTTGAAGAAATCTATCTGTAAATAATGAACCATTTATTAACTTGTATGTACATTAATTTTTCATCTAATTTTTTTCCTAATAATGGACCTATGAGAAGCTCACAAGAAATAAGAGATCGCAGTGATGCTTCCAAAATTATGGTTTTTATTCATTTTCATGTATTTTTTTGTATTTGTATGTGTTATTAAAAAAATTAGGCTGCATTTATTGTAACAATTTTCAGCAGTTTTTTAAACTTTCTATAAACGCGAAAAGACCTTGAAGTTTATATCTCATCTTAATAAATTTTATTCAATAGAGCAAATGAATTTTAAAGGAACTAGTAATTTTTGCAAAATATGGGAACCAATTTCTCCATCGTTTAACAACTCACTTAGCGCCAGCTTCTAGTCCAGCGTAGTCAGCACACTCTTTTTATTCTGACCGTGTATGTGACCTTTCCGCAGGACAAAATGTTCTCGCCTCTGGAAATCGGTCCGGTAGCAGCATGTGTGTGTCCGTATGACTCTGGGGCTGCACAATGCGGTGCTGATTATTTTCTAGTTAGTGTGTGCTCGCTGGTGTTTTATTTATTAATTTAATTATAATTCAGTAGCTGCACGAGAGAGTGCTCGTTAAAGCACCACAGGTCCGCCGCAGGCCCATTTATCTTGGAACCTAAGCGCACCGTATGCTTGCTCTACAGAGAAGGTTTTCTGATCTCAAGAAATATACGACGAGCCTCTCTGCAAAGTTGCCACCCGTGTGCCTCTGCACACAGGGGCAATCGGCCTCTCGGTGACACTTTTAGGGGCAGCGCCCCCAGGTCGTAATCAGCATCTGGGACAAATTTTATATATCACTCGTTGCCCTGCTCTGAATTATATAGAAATATTCGTGTTATGTTAAAATATGCAACAATCTAGTTTTTTTAAAGAGGTTTTTATAATTGATTACTGAAACTTTCCTAAAGTGTTAACCTATATGAGATTCAAATAGAAATGCCACATTTAAAAATAAGTTATTATTATTTTATTTATATTTAAAATTATTTAAATTCTTCTAGGACACTGCGCACAAATTTTAGATTGGAAAAAAGAGAAGAAAGGGTTTACAACGTTGCAACGTTCAACTTACAAAAAAAGAGAATCGGCCGATAAACCCATACTATCAAAAAATAAGAACGATATATCACAAATCACAAACAATTTAAATTCCCGTAATAAATACTCCATGCAGAGGGAGGATATAATTTGATAAGATAGAATGTTCCATTACCATTTTTATAGTTCATTTTCAATGCGTTCATATTATTTTTGCGGGCTTGTATAATTTTTTTCATATTGTAATTTTTCAAATTTAGAATTTAGTGCAGACCTGGTTAAATAATAGTACAGAACTGGTGCAGAACCGGTTTAGCTGTTCTGCATCAGTTCTACACTAGATTTGCAGCAGTTCTGAACCCGATCTGAACCGGGGCTGTAATTCGCTAAGATAGAATGTTTCCATTTCCATTTATATCGATCAATTTCCATGCACACATTATTTTTTTTAGGCTTGTACAAATTTTTTTGTATCAAAATTTTTTCAAATTAGAAATTAGTGCAGATGTGGTTTAAAAATTATTCAAAGCTGGTGCAAAACCGTTTCAGCTGTTCTACACCAGTTCTGCACCCATTCTGAGCCAGATCTGAACCAGGGGTATAATTCGATATGATAGAATGGTGCCAATTCCATTTTTATAGTTTATTTTCCATGTGTTTTTATTATTTTTTGCGGGCTTATATACTTTTTTCACATTAGTCCAATTCTTTCTGTTCTCACATACCCCGCCCCAAGTTGAAGATATCAATATGAGATTTACACCACTTGATCATCTTAGTTCCAAGGCAAGTTTCCTAAATTTTTATCAAAAAATTTTCAAAATTGCGGGTTTTATGGGACATTTTGAAAAAATCAAAAAACGCAATTATCTCGGCTTCTAGTGGTTGTAGAACAATTTTCCGGGTATGGTTGAGCTCATCTCAGCAAGTTCTACAACTATTCTATTAAAAGCAAAATTTTAGGTCAAAGGTCAAGGTCAATTTTTGTGAACGTAAATTTTCAAACTCAAAATTGAAAACCAGCCGACCATTTTAAATTAATTTTGAGATAGCCAAACGATTCCTCGTAAAAATTTACGTAATATATGTCAAAACTGCGATGAGGTTATTTTTTGTTAAATTTAAAAATAAATAAGAATATTAAAAAACATGGTTTTTTGCAACTCTGAAGACAGGGTCAACATTATAATCGCATTTAACTTCGTCCCTGATGATTTTAGGTAAGAATTGATAATGACCAAAGTTGATCCCCACGTCAAGACCAATCGAATGATATATAGGTCAATGACCTTTGGTGACCTTCAGGCAAAAGGTCACCCAGGTCGGTGACCTGAGGTCACCTGACCTAGATGTATGATATGTTTTTGAAAAGGTCTTGTTAAGAAGATAATTTTGGTTACCATGTTTTGGTCTGTACCTCGACTACAAACCAAATGATTGTACTTTTGTTTTTTTAAATGCACAATTTTATGAGAAGTGAATTTGAAAAGTACAATTATTCGGCTTGTAGTTGATGAACAGACCAAAAATTGGTGACTAAAATTATCTTCTCAACAAGACCTTTTCAAAAACATATCATACATCTAGGTCAGGTGACCTCAGGTCGCCGACCTGGGTAACCTTTGACCCGAAGGTCACCAAAGGTCATTGACCTATACATCATTCGATTGGTCTTGACGTAGGGATCAACTTTGGTCAATATCAATTTTTACCTAAAATCATCAGGGATGAAGTTAAATGCGATTATAATGTTGACCCTGCCTTCGGAGTTGCAAAAAACCATGTTTTTTAATATTCTTATTTATTTTTAAATTTAACAAAAAATAACCTCATCGCAGTTTTGACATATATTACGTAAAATTTCACGAGGAATCGTTTGGCTATCTCAAAATTAATTTAAAATGGTCGGCTGGTTTTCAAATTTGAGTTTTAAAATTTGAAGGTCACCAAAGGTCATTGACCTATATATCATTCGATTGGTCTTGACGTGGGGATCAACTTTGGTCATTATCAATTCTTACCTAAAATCATCAGGGACGAAGTTAAATGCGATTATAATGTTGACCCTGTCTTCGGAGTTGCAAAAAACCATGTTTTTTAATATTCTTATTTATTTTTAAATTTAACAAAAAATAACCTCAACGCAGTTTTGACATATATTACGTAAAATTTTACGAGGAATCGTTTGGCTATCTCAAAATTAATTTAAAATGGTCGGCTGGTTTTCAATTTTGAGTTTGAAAATTTACGTTCACAAAAATTGACCTTGACCTTTGACCTACAATTTTGCTTTTAATAGAATAGTTGTAGAACTTGCTGAGACGAGCTCAACCATACCCGGAAAATTGTTCTACAACCACTAGAAGCCGAGATAATTGCGTTTTTTGATTTTTTCAAAATGTCCCATAAAACCCGCAATTTTGAAAATTTTTTGATAAAAATTTAGGAAACTTGCCTTGGAACTAAGATGATCAAGTGGTGTAAATCTCATATTGATATCTTCAACTTGGGGCGGGGTATGTGAGAACAGAAAGAATTGGACATTATAATTTTTCAAATTTAGAATTTATTGCAGACCTGGTTCAATAATGGTACAGAACTGGTGCAGAACTGTTCTGCATCAGTTCTACATCAGATCTGCACCCGTTATGAACCAGATCTGAACCAGGAGAGTAATTCGCTAAAATAGAAAGTTTCCATTTACATTTATGGCTCATTTTCTATCCACTCAGATTATTTTTTTAAGGCTTGTAACAATTTTTTCGTACCTCCTCTTAGGCCCTGTTACTCTAATAGTTTAGATTTTTTTACTGGATCAAATCCTGCGTGTGCATATTTAGTTGTCTGAACAGAGACGTCATTGTGTGTCCTGCGAGTTCTTTTCATTCACAAAAATAAGTTGTCTCAATTTCTCGTCGGCCGTTAGGTGATGCATCATGGCCTGTCAGAGCCTCGCAATTGTGCATGTTCTGGCCCCCTGATTTGAGCGGCAATGACACACATGATGTGCTCTCAGATGAAAAAAAAACTCCCTACAAACAGCGAGTGCATATTCCGATATCAAAACAAGAAATCCGATTTTTTTAAATATTATACAAGTACATGTAACTATACAAAAAAGAGACAAAAATTCAGAACAAGGATTCAACAATTTTAATTCAAAAATGAAATTTTCTAACTCTAACATACATGAACTATCCGAAGGAAAATTAAATATTCTTCATTCAGTAAAAACATTAAATTTAATTTATCTATATTTAATTAATAATTACTAATTTTTAATGTGTTTGGAGAAAAATTACTACAATAAAACCCGACTATGTCTTTTTGGCTTGGTTTTTTTATGATAGGGCAACAGCAACAAAATTTACAAAAATATAATTTCTTTAAATATTACATAAATGCAACCATTGCAACTTGGATGTTACGCAGGCTGCATACTTTCATCATTCCTCCAGTCTAAAAATCAAAATCACCCCCATTGCTCTTTACGTTTTTTTTGTCCATTCACTTTTTATACAACCCATCTTTTTGGATTTTCAACTGCACACAACAAAGCATTAAAGGCAATTTGAGATGCTCAAGGTAAGCAAGCCGCTTTGAAGGCATTTTATCGCTCCAGAAATTCGAAAATAATTGCACACTTTAAACTCCCCGACATTGGACCTCATCAAAGGCACTTTGAGCAGCGAGTTAATTCGTATCCTCGGCCGAGTTGATCAGAAAAGAGCGCGCGCGTCCATGATGTTTCGAAAGAGCTGCGAGCGAGGCGAGTTTTTTTGTGTGCCGAGTGGAGAGGGAATAATGATAGGTTTGATATCGAGAATTACACCACGCCTATATAATAACAAACTTCAGCAAAGTTTGGGCTCCGGCGTAGCATTGTGTGGTGCGGCTGGTTCGTGACCGGGGCCATTTATTTGACACGACATTGTGCTGCACCAGCATAAGACTATTATCAGTTTGCTGTTAATTCCGTGTTGCTGCACAAAAAAGGCAGCAGGCCAAATAATTGGGACCCGTAGCCGCATGTAATATAATTTTCCCTCTCTGCAGCGCCCACCGACCATATTTTCTCTATGGATGTGTGTGTGTTTATTAATATTACACACCCAACTAGCAGCATTTGCCAACTAATGCGCGCAGACATGCGAGCTGAAAACAATGTTGATACAACCATTACACCACCACACGTCTCTCTCTCTCAGAGGCCGGAGCCGCCGCGTGTTTCTTTTAATATAAAGTTGGAGCCGAAACATATAGAGCTCGTTGTATTTCATTATCGTCCCCTCATTATCGGCACCCATATACCGATAAAAGCAGCATATTATTCCGTGTTTTGCCTACTTTGACAATCTGCTTCCTAGAACACAATTTATACGAAAGAAAAACACGGAAAAGAATAAATAAAACATGAAATGACAAAATATTTCTATAACGCTTACAATATATTAGTGGAATTTGAATAAAAATTATGATTTTTTTTTTTAAAATGTTTAGAAATTATTCCAACACAGGTGCGACAAGTTTTTGTGGAAATTTATTGCTATATCTACTGAAAAACTCTTATGCATTCTCATTCATCAATTAGAAATCCTGTGAATATTTTGAGAAAAAATTTCACAGCAATCCAAGCCTTGCACAATCCAAATTTTTGATCGATTCTTGATTCTTGACATAAATTAAATAATTTGTTTGGAGATGTTTTTAAAATTAAAAATAAATTACTAATTATTTTTATATTTTAACCATTTTAACAGTTTTCAACATCATATAATCCAAATTAAGTGTTTTTTTTTTAAATTAAATTATTATTATTTAATTTTCTTCTTTCATCACTTGATAATCAGTCATTTTTTACAAATTGAAAACTGAACAAAACTAAATTCTATAATGCAGAATTGGTAAATAAAATGTAAAATAAAGGATCCCTACTTGATTTTTAAACGTAAAGAAAGCTAAAAGCTAATTTTCATTTACAAATGGTCATTGCTGTGTGAACAAGAAGCTCAATTAATATTTGGGGAAATTAACTTGTACACTCATTGATTTTGAGAATTTCTTTCATTTTAAATTTTGAAAACAATAACGAGGCAATTTGTAAATTAACTGCATAAAAAAATGAATTCAAACTAAAATGTTTCTATCGGCACCTTTTTTTTTTTTTTTTTTTTTTTTTTTTTTTTTTTTTTAAGTGTATTTATATTTAATTTCATATATCTACTTATATCAAGCGTTTTTGAGAACTGTTTCAGAGTGGGTGTCTCACTTGACCTATAATGAGCAAAAAGAATTCGGTTTTTCAGGAATCAATAAAAGCTACCGCGCGCGGCTGCTGAGCATCACAGATGATGCAGCGGCGGCGAGGAACACACACAATGCGCCGCTCCACGCCGCGAGTTTTATATTTAAGCTTGGCACCGCGCGCATAATACATTTTATGCATATTTGGAGCATGGGTATTTACCCCGTGCACTTGATGGAATGATGGATAGCCGTCTATATAGCTGCGATATATTTATAAATAAACACGCGCGGCGCACTCTCTTCCCATCGTTTGTACCACCCGCAAGAGAGAAAGAGAACACACGATGCTCTCTCTCGGCATTCACTTGGGCCTCCGCAAGAGAAGAGAGAGAACCAACGCTCAACGACGAGATCGTGCTCTCCGCAGAAAATAATAAACACGCACATTGTGTGGCGAAAATTGAAGGAAAAAATTGAGAAAACGAGCTGAGAGAGCACAAAGGGCGCCCAGGGAAAAGATAAACTTGAGATAGAGAGAGTGCATGAGCTGGCAAAAGATAAACAAGTTGATGTTTATCTCTATGGGGGTTGATATGTACAAAGTTTGCAGGTTATTGTACACAATATATAAAAGCTTTGGGTGTGCATAGTTCAGATTGATAATTTAATAAAAAATAAGCCACCTTAATTATTAAAATTTTAGATTCAAGAAATTTAAAATTTATAAACTTTTTAATTTTAATTGTAATAATTGATTATTTATTTATAATATATTATTATTATAATAATATTGTATCATTATGTTATATTAATTAATTATTATTATAATTTTGGTAACAATAAGGTCTTATATCCTAAAAATATTATTGATATATATTCAAAGTATTGAGGTATGTGATTCTAATCTCAAAAGTCATTTTGATCAAACTTTGGTTCGTTTCGTTCCTCTCCAAATCAGACAACAACAAAAGATACACTAACACTATTAAAATTGAGTCCATCTGAAGCATTTATTCTATAATTAGCATAGAACACTCGTTATTGTGTCGACCCTAATTTTATTAATTGAACAATAAATCGGAGCAAATTGTAAAACGCACAATGCGTGTCCCCTTAAGCTGCTTTCATCGCTCCACTATTACTTCTAAAATTTGTTTAGGGAGCACAAAATCTTTTTGCTTTTCGCTCTCCGGCCAGCAGCAGTGGCGGCGGCGGCAAGGGCATTAGGGTGGTCAAGAGTATATATCACCCCTATTAAGGGGTGATATTATACAAAAGCGTGTGTGCTGTGCTATCCTGGGCACATGTAAAGTGACCCCTGCGGAGGGAAACCCATACTTCAGCTAAGAAAAATGGGTGCACGTGGTTGGCTGACCACTTGCGGTCAAGGCACATTAATATTGGCCGGCCGGTGCTCAAGGGGTTGCCTACCCTCAAGACAGCAGGCAAATTTATAAGAGCAATATCGTCACCTTTGCTGAGAGCTTGCGGTCGCCGAACGAATTTACGGCGTCCAGCGCATTAATTAATTTCAACAACAGATGCGCTCCTCTTTTCAAACTTAAATAACTGCTGCTCTTCCTGGCATAAAAGGCTTTGCCGCCACCCTGGGTTTATTACGGCTAAGGTGCGGAGTTTAAGAACGCAAATAAGCAGCACTTAACTTTAAATAAAATTATGCAAATTTGAAAGGAGATGACATGTCTTATTTTTTTTATAAATTGATATGGGTCAAAATGAAAATTGTGGTTATAAGATGTATATTTTTCCCCCTGGAGAAATATAATCACATTGGGGGCTAATTTAACTTACCTTAACTTGGTTAAGACTATATGGTTCAAATTAATCCACCATATAAACTTTCAATGGCGGGTCTTTTGTGAAACATTTTTTCTGAGTTTTTTTTTTAATCCCCCTCCCAATATCAACTAAAATTCATATTTTGGTTTCTGGCTGCAACCATAAAATTGATGTGTAATATACCAGTGTAATACTATACATAATTGTAACTTTTATAAACATTTTATTAGTATATATGTTATTAATCTTATTGCACTAATTTATATTTTATTAAGTAATCTTTCATTTATTGAAAGTTATTTCTTATTATTTATTTTAATTTCATATTTTTTTATGTTTTAAGAGTTTTTCAAAAGTAAATGAAAATATTTTTAGCATAATAAAATTTGTAAAATATCAAATACTATTTAAATTGTAGTTTATGCCAGAAAATTAAGCTACATGTGAAACGGGAGTTCTCGGGTGTGTCTAGGGTTTTTGGGTTGGCCGAAAGAGATGAACTTTTATTCCCAATTAATTAATAACTCGTTGGTGAATTACTCGACGGCGACTGCGGGTGCAGTCGTCTGATTCGGGCTTTCTGAAATATAAAACACGAAAGGTGGGTGAAGCAGCCGGGCTAGTGCGGCTGTATGCTTCAGAGCGGGCCGGCGGCTTATGTGCCTCGTACAGGCTTATAAGCGCGCCTTGCCTTTCAAGGGAAACACAAAGTGAAACAACTTGAATTGCTCGTGGAACTAGATAGCGAGTTGCCGTCGGTTTATTTGTGGCATTCATCAAATAATACATCTCTGATTCAAGTCTAAGTTACAATATTAATTTTGATAATATTTAATTGACTGTTTAATATTTGATTATTGTTTGATTACATGATTAATATTTAATATATGGTCTTTATTTTTAATGATTATTTTATTTACTTGATTGAGCAATTTAATTATTGATTTTTTGGGTTACACATGTCTGAAAAGATAATAAGCTTTTTCTCAGAGGATCTGCAGTTATGCAGCGTATTACCATTGATGACATTTATAAAATGAAATATTAAAAAAGAAATCAAATTTGATAAATTGAGAGGAAACTATTACAGGCTGTTCTGGTGGTTATTTTCAAGTGAGGCCGGGATTGATTTTTATCATTTAACATATTGAGAAAAGAAAGCACTTCAAACCGGACCAACTTATCCTCTCGTTTTCATTAAAAAAGCATTCCATGTCTGCTCGTTTTACCAATTCCAATCAAAGTCTGCGACCCTATTATATATAATCAAACATGAAAAAGCTATAGACCCAAAAATTATTATTGCTGTTTCTTTCATCCTAAGATGTTACGCGCGAATTTTACATTGAGAGAAATAGTGTACAATTGTTTTGGGAGCTGGATAATAAACAAAAATTTTCCAGAAGAATAATAAAACGTGTATTCAACGCAAACACGACACATACTCAATTATCTATACTAAAATAAGCGAGGCAACGAACATTGAATTTCTCGACAAAGAAGCACCATAATATGCCTTATCAAATGATTTTAAAACTTCCGAGATCTAAAAGTCCCAATCCGCCTCTCACAATCAGTGAGCCTGGTTTAACTTTGTTTTAGTCTTTTCATTCTTTTCTTTTCACAACTAAATTAGTAAATTTTAAAAACCATGACTATTAATAAAATATTATTAAAAACCAATTTAAATAATAAATATAATATATATAAATATTCAGAGTTAATGTTTTAATATATTTGAATCTATGAAGGATAATTCAGTTTTTCGCCTCATTTTTTTTTTTTTTTTTTAATGTTTGTGTTATTTAAAAACAACATCAACACGATTGCAACTTCTCTAATAATAGCAAATTTAAAGTTTAGTGTGGTTTTTTAATGCAACGTGTAAACCTCCCAGCAACCCCAGCGTCGGAGTAAAGAACCCTTAACACTGCAGATCGCAGGCGAGCCCAAGCAAGAATCCGAGTCGGGGCAGCAAAAAGTTGGTGGTGCGTGTCTGTGTGTCGCGAGTGAGCACCACGTGGTGCGCTAGTCCCGCCTCCGGTGAGGCCCTTCCCCCCGCTGCCATTGGAGGCCGGGGTCACGTGGTGCCTGGGCCGGCGGCGTTGGCGGCGTGCGGGGCGCCGCGCGTCAAAGTGCCGGGGAAGTTGAATGAGCGTGCACCTCCTCGCGAGGATTACCTGCAAGCCGTGGCGGCCGCCGTCGACAACTGCTGGGGGCCGCTGGGGGCGGCCATGGACCACTGCAACGAGACCGGCTTCATCAACAGCCAGCCGTCGATGGCCGAGTTCATGACGCACCTCGCCGACCGACCGGACACGCCGCCCTTCCTCGATGTTGCCGCCGCGCAGGCCGACGGCCGCGGCCTCATGCAGCCGGCGGCCGCCGTGCCCGAGTACCCGTGGATGAAGGAAAAGAAAACCACGAGGAAAAGCAGCGCCCAAGGTGAGTTCCGACGAAATCTTAATTTCTTTAAAATCTATAAATTCGGAATTCGGAAATTTGAGCGCTTTATATAAATGTAAAATTTGAGGCAGTTTAGGACTAAAAGTTTGTAAATGAAGGCTTAAATTTAATACATGCCATTATACCGTTTAATTAAGTCTATAAATGTATAAAAAAAGTGTCTCGTACCCACGAACTTTTTGATTTCATCAATGAGAATGGCACTAAATGTGTAATTAATTGAGGAGACCTTTTTCATTATGCGACTCTTAAGACAATGACGCTAGGATAATAGTTAATAGGACACCCGCTGCTTCAAATCTTGAGGACCATCATATGTTAATTACAAAAACCGTGTTAATGAGAGAGTAATGTGCGCGCCGTATAATTTTTTCCACACTTTTGCACTTAAGGACAAGATGAAAAGATATAATGTGTGGGCCCAGATTACGAATTTACAATTTTTTTTAAGCATTGGCTATAAAAATGTACAATGCATAAAGGAACCTTTAATATGAATTAAAATCATTCCCATAGATCTTAAATTTTGAGTTTTTAGGCATTTTTGGAAAATAATCCATATGCAAATTGTCAAGATTTAACATGCGCCAAGCAAAATGAGAACGAAAAAATTATTTTTTGTTCCGACTTCCTTTGCAATTTAGAAATTCTGAATCCGCAACCCTAGCTTTTTTGAATTTATGAGAAATTCAATTTTGAGAAGAAATCGGCGTTTCTCACGCAGGTCAACAGATGATGAGGCTCTGAAAGGATGGCATGGGAAAATCCGGAGCGAAACTCGCAATGCTGACAAAATCACATACAAGACTTGCACGCGTTGTTATATTTCAGATTCACACATGCATGCACCATGGCAACATCTTTTTCTCTCTCTCACCGCGGCTCCGTCGCTCATGCTTAAATTTGAAGGATATGTAATTTTGTGAAATAACAAGCGCGAAATGGCCGTGTTGCCTCCGCCGCGACAGGATATATATTTTTTTATTTATGTAATACCCCGCAATGTGATGAAATATACACTCGCTGAGAGCAGAGTGCACTTTTATGGCCCTGGGGGATCTTTCTATCTGTGCAGCGCCCGAATTTGTACTGCAGCAGAGGGCAGAGGGTGCAGTCGAATGTATCATAAACATTTATGCGCGAATTGTTCAGCCAGTGTGATATTGCACTGGTTATACAAGACACTTTTCACTCACTAAATTTCCAAAATCGTAAAATTATACCATTTATCTCTCGTCAAGGTTAAAAAAAGGCAATTTTTTTTATTAAAAATTATGGGTTTTGACGGATTTGAAACTTATATTGGGATGAAAAGCACAGAGGAGAAACAAAATACAAGATAACTTAAAAATTTATACAAACCTTTATTATAATCTTATAACTGGAAAAAGTTGATTTTAAAAATAAAAAAATTAATCTATAGATTTCATAAGAATGTTAATTTTTAATATTTCTGGCATGTTTTCCTTTTAATAATAGTTCTCCCCGGAAGAATTCAAGTCAAATTCTTCCATCTGCAAACATCAGTTGACTTATTTATATTTTTATTTATTAAATTTCAATTTTTTTATTTTTGAAAACAAGTTTTTTTTCTTTTGCAATTTTTTTCGTCTTAATTTTTTGGCTCAAAAATTTAGAATTTATAAAACTAGTTTCTCTTTGTGGGTTACAAAGTATAATAGATTAAAGGCATCAGCTGCACTGCCTTTTAATTGTAAGTCTCGTGCCAATTTGTTCCACGTCATTGCGGAGCAATTTATGCTTTTCCTCTTTTGTTTCACGCAGGGATGATTAGTAAATGGTCCCCTCACTAAACCAAACCGCTACAATTTGCACCTTGCGCCGCGCGCCGCACTCCCCGGCACTTATACTCTGCTGCATTTAACGCAATTGAATTTATATAACATTTCTTGGCTCGCAAAGAGAAACGCTTACAACACTTTTTGCTCCCCGGCGCGTTTTACTGCATGAAAGGGTCAGCGCGAAAGATATAATCAAGCCGAGATTCGCGCTCTATTAAAATCCAAAATTGTGACTCTCTGGGGGCCGCTGGGAAACAAATTGTCGTCGCTGAGCAGGGGTGGCTTTTGACTTCACCCTCGCGAGACTGCAAATAAAATAAGAATGATCAGCAGTGAGAGAATCAGAAAATGTGCGAGACGCGAGAGAGAATTTGTTGCCGAGGGAGAGGCTTCGGTGGCCGCTGCGGCCTCAAATAGTCTTTTCGATGCAAAGAAATTTAACATAAAATAATATACAATTTATTTTGGTATATTTTATTTTATAAACTTAAATCAATATGATATTATTTGCAAATAAAAATAATTATTAAATTTTAATTTATTTTTTTTAATATGCCATCCACATGCAACATTAGCAAAATTGATCGTGTTATTTTTTTAACCCTACTTTTATATTAAATATTTTTTTTTATAATATTTATTTCAGGAGGGCAATACATGAATAGTTATTAATTGTAAAATTTTACACTTTCCTAGGATTAACTCTTAGTTGCATTGGTTTTATTGTAATTAAATACTAATATTTAATAAATAGTAATGAAATCATTCATCATAAAGGGGATGAATAAGACAAATATTGAGCGCAGACATTACTCAAGCTTTGTTACAACTTTATAAAAGTTTGCTCCGTTCATTATCAAAATTATAATATAATTTTTTTATTATTTCTGTAGCAAACAATTCATATTTTATTTATAAAAAAAATCCCATTTGAACTGACTTTGGTAAAGTTTTTATTTTATTGTAACCCTATTTTTAATGTAGTTGCCGTAAATAATTTTTGTATAAAGCATTTTTTTTTTTTTAATAAAACCGTTTTTCCTGGTTTTTTCAGTTTTTAAAAATTACCAAAAACAAAATATTCGTTACTGATAAAAAAATTAATTCACAATATTTTAAGATAATTGGCAATTGCATTTCAATATGCATATTTAGTTAGCTGAATAGTGAAAGACTCTCAGAAAAAAATTCTGAACTCTTTTATATCATTTCAGTTAATAGAAAGGATTTTTTTTTTAATATCTGTAAAACAATCTCCGCATAAGGGGATTGAAAGTGATATTATAAATTATTTCAATCTCTGTCAGAATGGCCCAATTCAATTTAATCTCTGTGGCTCAGCAACACATCCCTGCTCGTGTCTCTCTGGAGCCAAATTTAATTAGCCTGCAATAATCCGCCGCTCTCGGATTTCGCGCCGAACAGGTTGCATATACGCGGCAAGGGGGTGCGTTCATTGTTCGTTGCGCTGAGAGAGAGGTGCGAGCATTAAAGCCGGCGATTCTACTCTTCCCATTCAGGGTAGGGTTACACGTGTTAGGTGTGCCGCTACCATATACACTGTACGTGTGTGTTATGAGATGGAATTAGGTGTCTGGTTACACCCCGAGAACGGCAGGGTGCCTCTCGCTCACCGCAGGGGGTGGTTAACGATAGGTCAATTAATCTAATCCTTTGTCAAGCTGCAGTCAAGGAGCTGTGCTAATTGTCTGTCCTCTCTTGCTATACCTATGCGTGCTTGATATAATCACGTCATCAAGTCCTAAAAAATAAAATAATAAAAAATGTTGAAATTTTTAAGAAATGTTTTATCTTTTATACTAATCAAAGGAATTTTTCATTTCTCTCTGCTTTCAATTTTTGTTTTTCTTATTTAAAATATGCCACACTGGAAACAAATTTTTAAGACTTTTTGAGGAAAAATCTTGAGTTTCAGCTTATTTTGGAGTATGTAGTGATTTTTCAAAATTATTTATTTTTTAGAATTTTTCATACTCTTTTTAATTTAAATTTCCGACATAATTACTTAAACATATTTCCTTGAGGAGAATTCCTTTCAATTTATAAATATTGAAGCAATATCAATTTGAAATATTTGTTTGAAGAAAAGCGTTTGAATATTTCATGTAACATTTACGTATAGATTATCACACTGTTTTATTTTAACGAAACGGTAATTTCGTAGATTGGAGCGCAGCAAAAGAGTTGAAAAGGTGCTATGCAAAAAGCATCTGTGACGCTCCGAATGTGTTGACACATGCAGCCAATGAAACCGCCATTAGTGTAAATAAAACGTGCCAAATGCGAGTGCAATCAATTGGCCATCAATTAGTGCAATCCCTCTCTTTGTCTGGCTGTCGCGGCACTGATTATTTTTTCATTCGCTCAAAAAGCCATTTTGTGGCAGACCAAAATACCGTCCTAAAATTCTTTCTGATAAATATTCAAAATCGCATTTCAGTATATTCCTTTACAGTTATAGATATTCCTCCATAGTCTCGGATTTGATGGTAAAATGTTTACCAATTTTTAATATATTGAGATTAATTATCCAAAAAAACCTCTCTCAGCTTGTCTTAAAAAGAAAACACAAAAAGAGACGAATTATTATTGTGTTGTGTTTTGACTGGCGCTGCTTCTCTTTCTCTGCCGCAGTTTTAAAAAGAGAATGTTGGCGGTGTTTATTTTAATACCTTGTTACAAGCGGCTTGACAAGCTGAGATATTTATTCTAGTAATAAAGGCGGCGAACGTGTCGATGGATTGGATCTTTCCGAGAGTCTAGGCTCCTGCTTTCTGTCACTCTCGTCGCGCTGCATACATTTTTACATTTCTTGGCTTTGATCACCTGGCAAGAGAAGACGAGAGGCGATTTATAATTAGCTCTCCCTCGGAAAAATTTGATGAGACACACGTCGCCCCTCCGAATCCTGACTCTGACAAATTTGGATTGATTCAATTAGTCAAAAAAAAAGAGTGACACAAATTGTTAATTGTGTTGTTGAAATTGTTTGAGATAAATAAAAAAGAATAGCATGTTTGTTTTCTCGTAAAAAGAAGATGTGTCGTATTTAATTAGTAAGAATTTAAGAGGGAAAAATAACCTCACCGGAAAAAAACTTTTAATTGTTTGAAATTTAATTTAATGAAATACCTTGACAGACAATTTTAATTTACA